ACATCTGTGAAACAGTAATTCTGCTGCTAAATTTATTCCCAACAGAAACGTTGGCACATTTGTACCAAGAGACATGCACAAGAATGTTCATAAGAGCATTATTCATAGTAGCCTAAAACATAAAAAAATTCAAACTTGTATAATATACATAAGATGGGGTATATTCACCCAAAGGAATATTATACAGCAATGAATAGCTCTCATTACAAGTAAGAACATAGGTGATTTTCCAAAACATAATGCTGAGGAAAAAAGCCAGGCACAATAGAGTGCATGCATGATTTTCTTTTTCATTTTATTTTTTAATTTTGTTTTATTGCTTGAAGTATTACAAAGAGTATTAAGATGTCTCCTTTTTTTTCTCCCCTTGACCTTCCCCTGGCCTCCCCTACCCCCCAGTGTCTTGTGCAAGATTTTCTTTATATCAAGTTAAAAAGTTGGCAACATTAACCCTTGCTGTTAGAATAGTGACTTCCTATGGGTAGTAAATGGGAGAGGACACATGGAACACTTCTGAGTGTTGGCAACGGTAGTGCTTCTTGACCTGCGTTATAGTTTCATCGGTTGGCTCAGGCTCGCTTTATACTAGTTGCCCTATATACCTAAGATTTGTGCACAATTCGGTAGCATGTTGTATTTAAATGAAAACTTTCATTAAAACAAAGCAAAAAGGTGGCCTTCTAGAAAACATACCTCTGAAAACATGCGTCTTGGTTCACACTTTTAAAATATTGTACTATATGCATGCATTAATATTAACTCCATGAAGTGAATAAATTAACAGAGTACAAATTTCTAAGTGCTGCCTCTGGCTGGGAGAAGACTCTAGGTTCCACGGTGGTTCTACCTGAACAAGAGCCACCAGTAAAGTTGAAATTACCTTTACACTGAGGGGCTGGAGATGACCATTGTGAACTTCTGCAGGTGATTTGGGGGTCTCCAACCAGAACATATCCTTCATCACATTCATAGTGCACCACAGTCGTAAAGGAGAAAAATGAACTTATGTCATGATGGGATCCATGGGTGAGACGAGGAGGTATTCTGCAATCTTGAATGGTAATACAGAAAGGTGAAAGAGAATGAGCTAGAGTTTAATTTAATTAACAATTCAGATTGAGATATTCCTCTCATGTGATAGAACTAAGTCATTAAACCATACTACTGAGGTGTGTTTTATTTCCTTAACAAAATCATGAGAAAGGATTCGTTAATCCTTCACCACTGGGTTAATCATTTCATATATGTGATATCATTTACTCCTCACATGAACTTTATGAGGCAGTATTATCATCATGCCCATTCTAGAGAAAAGGAAACACAACCTTAAAGGGGTGAAATATTCTACATAAGTGCCAGTGATTAATAAAATTTGGGGATTAGAACAGCAGTTTCTTGTTACTTTCAATGTCAAGTAATACTCCAGACTTGAAAAATAGGTGGCTCAGAACCGGCTAAATTAACTTTTTAAGCATAATACTTGGGGAAGTGTTTTATAACGCTTTTGCTATCCGGTGAATACTACCTCTAGCCCCAGATAGTGCAGATGAGAAAAGGGCTGTGAGGAAGCCTGGTATGTCTTCTTTCAGCAGCTCTGATGATGACAGCAAAAGACAAATTTCTGCGCTGTAGGATTGGTCTTTTTCCTCACATTCTTCAGAACAAAGGGTAAGTACTTTCCATGGACTAGATCTAGACTGCATTGAAAAGACACCCAGGTGGAGTCCTCCTCAGCTCTATCCAAAAAGGACCACCTCAGGTGCAAGGAAGGCCTCAGTTAAAAAAAAGCTCTGGGGGGTCACCAGAAATGTAGGAGATAGGAACAGGGAAGCTATCAACCAGACTGGGAGGTGGGTTTGACCGTTCCCCAGGAATTGCAGTTTGCAGATCCTCAGTGATGATGACGCACCCACAAAATCAAACAAACTCACAGGAGACAGAGCAAGCTTTAAACACCCGAGAGGCCAAGATTCAGCTCAAGTCAAGCACTGCTTCCCTGTGTCTGCCCTTCCAAAGCTAAACTCTGGGAAGTTCAGCAATTCCAAGGTAAACTCTGTTTAATCCACCTGTGTGTAAGTCAACAGCTCCCATGTAACCTCAGATTAAGTACCTTCTTAGAAATATAAAAAAAGCAGCTCTTGCCCTGGCCAGTTTGGCTCAGTTGATTGGAGTGTCATCCCAAACACCAAAATTTCACAGGTTCTATTCCAGGTCGGGGCACATACCCAGAGTGTGGGTTTCATCTCAGTTGGGGCATGTGCAGGAAGCAAAAGATCAATGTTTACCTCTCTCTCGCCTTTCTTCTCTCTCTAAAGTCAATAAAATCATGTCCTTGGGTGAGAATTAAAAATAGGAATGACTTCGAGATACATGAAGGATGAGTAGAAGTGAGTAGTTGATAAGATAGTAGACGCAGATCAATACGGAGGCAATGAGCAGTCTCTGGCCTCAGAAGGTTGTTACTATAAAGAAAAGGGGGAGGCAGAATCCGAAAGGGAGATTTCAGGTCAAAGTTGACAGACATTAAATGCCTTTTCATAGGATTAAGGCCATCGATAATGGAAGATTTCAGGAAACAGGAGGAAAAGAGACAGGGAAACAGACACATGAAGAAATAATAGAAAGATGTTGACCAACTTAATAAGGTTTTCTAAGGTTACTTAGATAAGATATAGCCATTTAAATAGTTACACTACAACACCAGTCACACAAGTGCTAGGAGAGTAGGACAACAAATGAGTTCTACCAGAAAAGGTTGACAGTAGGCCTGGAGTATCAGGGAAAGATGTCCAGGAATGACTTGGAGATACATGAAGGATGAGTAGAAGTGAGTAGCTGATAAGATAGTAGACGCAGATCAATACGGAGGCAATGAGCAATAGTAGAGGCAAATCAATACGGAGCAATGAGCAACGTCTCTGGCCTCAGAAGGTTGTTACTACAAAGAAAGGGGAGGCAGAATCCAAAAGGGAGATTTCAGGTCAAAGTTGACAGACATTAAATGCCATTTCAAAGGGTTGAGGCCATAGATAATGGAAGATTTCATGAAATAGGAGGAAAAGAGACAGGGAAACAGACACATGAAGAAATAATAGAAAGATGTTGAGCAACTTAATAAGGTTTTCTTCTGTTACCTCAGACTCTAAGAGAGGAGAACTCAGAGACAACTTGGAGGCCTGAACATCCCCTGGGCAGAATGTTCTTCATGCTGCACTGACTCTCTAACCTAAACGTAGTGCTACTCCTCAGTAATGTCCAGGTGTTTGAGGGAAAAATCACCTTCCAGATATAAATTCTTCCTTAATAAACCCATGCTCTCCCCCCACCTCTCTCAGTGATGGAGAAGGCATGGCTTCCACACTGTCAAATCAAGCTGCTAGCTCATAAGAGCACTCAACTATTATTTTAGATTCAGGATTTTCCCTCGAAACTATCCCAAGTCCTACATTTTTTATGCCATGATAGTCATTTTCAGGGAATATGCATAGAGATATCCTTATTATGAAAATGAATTCTCTCAAGTAAAAAAAAATCTAGCAAAAGGGGAAAATATTTTGCTTAACGGACATTTCCATTTAGATAATATAACAACAAATTAATTTCCATAACAACAGATCTTCAAAAGTTCTAGTAAGTTCTCTCAAACTCTTTCACTTCCTCATTTGTAAAAACTTTTCTACATTTCAATAACAATGTCTTAAATTTATGTAATGGTTTATAATTCTCTAAGTGTCCTAAATTTTACTCTAGAAAAGTTACTATTAGTGATAATGGACAATATTTTTGCTTTACTGGTAGAATTCCCCCCACCCCCACTCCAATGAATCACTAACTACGATTGTAGATGGCATAATTAACTTAGTTAGAAGGTATTTTAAACATTTTGGAGCATTGAAATATAAGAAATTGATTTGAAAATTAAAGATTATTCCTTGCTAAAGCAGCCTCACGAGAATTTTTACATATCAACACAATTATCCTAGCCACAAATTGACGACATTTGATGAACTGTGGTTTGGTATTTTTCTTTATATCTTAGAGAACTTCCTTTCTGGGAAGAAGAGTCTACAGCTTGATGCAAGAGCCCTGTGGGGTTCTGTACATATTGACTATTGTAACCCCAAGACTTCATTGCTGTTGGGATGGTAACGGTAATGAGTTTCTTTCTGGACATATGATTCCTCTCTGAGTAAATGAAGGCAGAAGGCACCAGGATTGCAGGTCCTGATGCACAGGGTGTGTGGTGGGCTCTCCAGGAATTACAAGGCAGAGTATGAAAGAAAGGAAACTGAGAAACAGTCCTTGTCCAACAAATTAGTTTCTTCAATTTGGGGTTTGAATTGCTCATAGAATAAAGTTTTAATGTAGAAATTTAAATTTCTTTCTAGTTAGCCTATGTCCTACCGAGAACACACTTATATGAGTCTGTGAGAAAATACTCAAGAATCTAGTCCAAACAATAATTATTCTTTAATACTTCAATGGGAGCCTCTTTCCTTCCTGGGCTTGCTGATATACATGAAACACCAAATGGCTCACTCTGTGAAACCGTTCTGGGTGGGAACTATGCTAGTCTGTGTCTGCACCTGAGAAGCATGCACTGAAAGGTAAATGGCTGGAGATGATCAATTCAGGAGAAAGGAAGGTTCAGTGTGACTTTTCAGATATCTGGATGATGCTGGATGCGGAGGAAGCCCAGTGCTTTGTCTCTGAGCAGTAAGAGACAAGTGAATGGAAGGCGCATTTGTCCTGCTTCTGAATTGGTAACCACAAGACTCAGTGTGTCTTAACCATCGAAGACTGCCTGACTGTTCATCCAGATTATTGCCTAAATTGTCTCCTTCAATGGGACAGATGAGGCTACCAACCTGGATTCCATATGTTGCCCACCAGCTGTGGATATCTGTGCTTAGATTGTTGCCTCAAACAAAAGAGTAAGCTCTGGAAATTGTCCTAAAGGGACCTTCACTACTCAGCTGAACTGGAATGACTACCACTTGCTTATCTCTCCAAAATGCTTCTCTCTCAAAAATAAATGAGAAGAATTACCACATATAACTGAGGGAAACTCTTTGGAATGCTGAGGAAAGCACAAATAAATGTCAACTTCCTAGAGATCAAGGAAAACAAAGCCACCAAATGGCTACTTCCTTTACAAAGAGGAATCACAACAAAGTGAAGTGATTTAAAGGATTAACCAGAAGCCTGCTTTTAATCTTTCAGCAGGTAGGTACCTGAACTTTATATAAATTATCATAATTAATCTTCAAAAAACCCTAGGACATAGTTTTTACCTTCCTCATTGCATAAATGAGGAAACCAGTTTAGATAGAAAAAGTAACCTGCCCTCAAACCTCTTAGTAGCTACCAGGTAGGTCAAATTCTGAGCCCAAGACGGATTTTATAATAGTGGATTTTCTTTATACGAAAATAATTTCCACTTTTTGGGCAATATTGGCTTCCTGTAAAGATAATGAATCAGCCATTAGGGAGTAGATCAACACTGTTGGGCCTTCCCCAATGGAATGTCCACCACCAGATGCTATTGGTGGTGTAGTTAATGGCATAGATTTGTGACCTTCTCCAGAGAATGTGCTGAAATGGCAGGAGCCTCCTCATCCTAATACTTTGGAAGTTATACCCCAGCCCACAGGGGCAACCAATGCCCAACTAATATTGGGACACAAGAGCCCTGATTCCTTGCCTCAAGTCTGGATAATTCTGTGTGCTGAACTGGCATGGCCATGGGTGAACCTGAGTGGGCGGGATCAAGGATTAAGAAAAGACAGACAAGAGAAGAAAGCTGGGTCTGGGTGGGACGCTGCCCTCTCTGATGGAGAGACAGCGCCATGGTCTGCAAGCCAAGTCTTTATTTTATAGCCAGATTCCAAGAGGCAACGTAAGGCGGGGTTACAACAGTCTCATGGATTTTGAATCTACTCAATTACATGCAGCTGATCAAGCTTTGTTTACTTGCTGCACCTACTGTAGCATATAACACTCAGCCACGGGGGACCACAGGTTTGGACCATAAGGTTAAGCTTACAACTACAGCCTTTGGCTATAATTGTGCTGGGACTTGCACATGGCTTTGCCATGAGAGGATCCTGCCCTCTCAGTTCCAGGCTTGAACCTGTCCAAATACTGTAGCTGCTCTCCACTTTCTGTGAGGCAATGTGTACTCTAGAGCTCTCCATGGATCAAGTGAAGAACCCATCCTTGCTCAGTTTTTTTGCTCCCCTACCGTGCTACTTCATTGCCTTACAGTTTTGGGGTGTGTGTGTGTGTGTGTGTGTGTATGTGTGTGTGTGTGTGTTTCCTGATGAGCACACTATCAAAAGTTTAGATACATCTACATTCATTCTGGAGAAACTGACTGAAGACAGTTTGTACCACAAGTGGACCTCAAAGGCTAACTCTAAGAATCGGATTCTAGACTTGGATCACCCACCAGCCAACTGGCAATCACTGGTCATGGGTGAATATTGACAGTCCTGCTTGCAGTAGCATTGCAGCTATGAACATGTTCACCTGGAAAGTGCCATGGGATGTAGAAGGAAGGAGGTGCATTGGCTAGTGCAATGCCTCGGACACTTGAGAGGGGCAGGGGGAATGGCAATAATGGCTGTGAAACTGGGTGACTGGGTACCATTAATACAGACTCAGTGCCCCTTCGCTGAAATAATGAGAGATCAAAGCAATCAATCACAATTTAAATCCAAGTGTGAAAGACAGAAGGCCTCTGTCAATATTTAAAGGAAGTTTGTCTCGGGTGGCTGGGAAGCTAAACTAAGGCCATACTCAGGATATAATCTTAAAAGGCCAACAAATTATCCAAGTATTTGGATAAAAAAACTTTCAAATATGAGAGAAGAACTCAGTATTTTACTTTCTATGAGGAAATACATGAAGAAAGAGGAGAACATGAGTTCAAAAACCAAAGGCAGACAGCACAGGAAAGCAAGTACACAGACAGGAAAACCTCCACTGCATGTCTAAGTGTGTGGCAGGTAGTGTCAAATCCCTGTCAAGATCACTAGGGCCCTCTCACTTTGGCACACTCTGGACCACTTCCAACCCCAGGGACTGCTTTGTCTGTCCATATCTCTACCCTGGAGGTTACTTCACACAGTCCCATAGGTGCCATTGGGCACCAGTGTCAGCGTGGTCAGGAGCATGCCTAGCTGGTCTGCAGTGTGGATCAGATGTCCTGTGAGCAAGACCTATTGGCTAATTACCATTGGTCTTCATTCTCCAGAGGACAAATCATAGTTGGGTTCCACACACATTCAGAGGGCAGACAGCATAACTGAGCTCCTGTTAGCTACAGCAATAATAATCCCCTCAGCAATGCTCCCTCTTTAAACTGGCCTCCCTTCTTCATCTTACTCCCCACCCACTTTCCCAGCTTTCTGGGGGCACCTCTCAGGGAAAATAGGTACCCACATGTCCTTGCCTTAATAAAACTCAAAATAAACATGAAGCAAAAGGAATTCCTCATGAGAAGAGCAGGTAATGGCATTCAACACCAAGGATAGATAGCTCCCAGTAAGGGGGTTTCCCTAACAGTCCAAACCCCTCTGTGAGACCTGTAATTTACTGAAAGCCTGCTCTACACCATTGCCTCCAGAGTATGT